ATTTCCGGTGCGCCTCTGGACTCTGACCGCCGCAATGCAAGGAAACCACCATTGCAAAATCAGACATCAAGTGTTGCATCCTCAAAACAAACATCATTAGCCGGAATAGACAATAAAAAACAGTACTAATGGAGACCATATCCATGTGTGTTTTTTTTTAGGTTATTACTGAGTAAAATAGTGGAACACCATTTTGTTCAATCAGCACAGCGTGGAACTAAGTGAAAATCTCTCCGGAGTAACTCAATATCTTACTGAAGTAACTCATTTCCCCCAACTGTTAAAAAAGAACCCCTTCAAATGTTTTTAGGAGGGGATGGCTGAATACTTGAAAAGGAAGTAAAAAAACTGGATGTCAGAGAGCTGTGGCACATAGGCTGCTCTGTTTTCCGTGCACTATGCACGTAAACACCATCTTTTAATAAGACATGACTCACAGCAAGTTTTTTTCAAATTTAGAAGCCAACCGGGAGCCAAATCGGTGACTCGGGTCTTAAAACTGACAGTTACAATCTAATGCTCGAAGGATACGATTTCATTTGCTGGAGACAACTGTTGCTTTGCTCCCTACTTCAAGCGTGTGTCTGACAGTTGGGCTGCACTTCTGCACAGCACTGTACCGCTGTCGCTTGGCTGACTAAGTGATCAATTACTTCAGACGAATGCTTAAGCCAATCACTGCACTCCGACTTAAAACGAGTGTTTGCGCTTGGATTCCCCACACTCTTTCTTATGGAGTCTGTACGTTTAACTTACGTATGAATGTACCAAGTTACCAGAGTGAACAGCTTTGAAGAGTTTCCATGGGCGCGGCGTGGACGTCCACTCAATACCTAAACTTACTCTGCGTGCAGCAGTCTACGTAAATCAAAACGCACACTAAGCTTCCTCATGTAACACCGGCCACTTTTTTTGCAAGTCCTCTCCAAAGAAAAAGGGGTGAGTTTTTAACAAACGGGCTACTTAACAACCTAAAATTGCCAATATACCACAATAACTATTGTTAAATATTAGTTCTTTTTAAAATTCGGAATGCGTTTTTTTTGCACATGAATGAATGAACGCAGGGCAGTAAACTGCAATCTTTTTTATTCTTTTCTCACTTACCTGCCGGTCATTCCTGCCACCCCCAGCATCCCCCTTAAAAGCCCCGATTTCAGAAGATCTTCCCCCTAATTTAAGGTGTGGCGGTCCGCTCTGAAATGTTTTCGGGGGAAACGGGAGTCACTCGGAGCTCAGAGTGGGTGCCCTGCCTTTGCAAATGGCGAAGAAGCCTCGCCTCTCTCCACTGTAGACCCGCGGCCGCGATCAGACAGGCCTCCGTGCCAGGAGCCGCCCTCTGAGCCCAGCCGTGCGCTTAGGGGCCGTGACCAAACTCCGGGCTCTCCCTGCGAGCGACCGGACCGTGAGGGGCAGGCGTGAAGTGTTATTCATAACGAAAGGTTTAACTATGCTCAGGACAAGTGCATTTCATCTTAAGCTGCGAAACGGAGCCCTTCCGCCTGTTTTTCATTATTATTATTATTATTTTATTTCAGACACTCGAATTTATCAGTGGCCCCTTAAAATTCATACTCCCCCGTAGTTGCGATGTGGTAAAGAAACTGCTGAGTCCGAGAAGAAGGAATAGTGATAAATTGCAATTTTAAATAAGGGTGTTAAATTCTAATGAAGAACGTTGCTAAACTGTCTTCAATGTTTACCAGTTTTGAACGTGAATACTGTAGTGGATCATGGTGCTAAATTCCCTGAACTACTCGCTTTGACTCCGTCTGTGTTGAAACATTCTTAAACATACAATTTAAGATTGTTATATATCTTATTACTTCTCCTAATAACAGTTAAGATTATGCTCTATATCTCATTACTTTTTCTAATTAGTTAAGAATTATGATGTAAGTTCGTGAATACTTGATGAGTGTGCTGCATTTGGAAATCAGATTTTAATTACTGCTTGTAAACTTTTTCTATTTACTAACATACAAGTTCATCAGCGCGACAATATAGATCCTAAACTGCAAATAAAAGCACAAATACTGCTTCAGTGTGCAGTGCCGTGTATTTTATTCATTCAGCAGCATATATACACATGAAAGAAATACATTTAAGAGGCGCTGACAGTGGATTTCAAACTTGAAAAGTCAGATGACTTTCGGGGGAAGAAGGGTTTAGATTTAACGTGCCTGAAAAATCCTAGAAAAAGTAAGATTGGAGATTTGACCAAATTATGACAACGAAATCTGATTAGTGCGTTTTAGGAAACGCAGAGCCCTCTCAGTTTCCTAGAGACTAATCCACGCAGAGAAGCCCAAGAGTTGTTTTCCTTATAAGGAAATCTATGTAATTCCCTGGAATCGCACAGTTGATCACTTAAAGGGTTCCTTGCATGAACACGGGATACACACTACCAGTGTCGGGGAGCAGACAGGAAAGAAGTAACGGTCTACTGAGGTAATTGCAGCTCTAGCCCTGCAAGCCAAGAACATTTGAAAAATGTGTTCTGCCTCTTTTACATTAAGACACTTCTGCTCTTACTGTGCTACTGTATATCTAGAATATGTGCCCTCACCAATACACATTTTAGAACATAACACAAAAGGGGAATTTATCAAGTTTTCTTTTCAAAATACAAGGTCCAATTTGTAATATTGTTGCAAACTATAAAGGTGTGTGAAGGTGTGATTGCAGTTTGACTGGTCCTATCTGCATCGTGACATGAGAGAATGCTTTTTCCCCAGAAGGCAAGAAGTTACTTTTGATTTCTCCTTGTTGGTTTGAGGGCGGTTCATATTAAAAACTCTTCACACAGAGTGCAGAGCTCGTCTTTTCATGAGAACATTCAAAAGGTGCATATTTTATTTCCCAGAAGCAAAACTGGAGTAAAAACTCACGAGACTTCAGTTCTCATTCACGTTGAAACCAATGGCGTTAAAGCCTTTTTCATATGGCTCAAGATGAATTTCAGTAGCTGCTCGTCTGACACAGATTTTGGTTTTGTTAATAACCTTTGTTACCTGTTTAAAGTTTAACATGGCATTTTCTTGGAGCAGGGGAATTGTCACAATGGATTTTTTCAACATTGCTCATTTCTATACTAGCCAGTACTAGAGATGCCAGTGGGAAGTGGCAGACTTGCAACTCTGTTGTAAAGGAGTCTGGATGAAGCCATGTACTGTAGTTTCAAAAGGCCCAGAATACCAAAGACAATGGCTGAACACATTGTAGCCCTGAAATTTGATAGGAATCACTCCACCCCGTCTGCCTACATAATCTTTTGTATGTTGCATGTTTTGAGTTAAGCCTGAATCATAAGGGAGTAGTTTAGACTGATCCTTTATTTAAAAAAAATAAAAACCCATTACACACAAGTTGCTGTTATTTCTATCATTTCGGAGCTGGAAAACCTTTGAGCAATAACTGTATTTCAACAACTTTAATTGACAGTGATGTCCAGTTGGGCAAAGCTGCTTTGGGGTTTGAGATAAATGTTTAAGACTTTTAAAGCAAGACAAGATACGTTTAAGACGACATCATGTTTTATTTTAATCTTTCACAGTTTAAGCAACAGAAACTGAGTTTGGTTAAGAATTGCACATTTTCCATTCTTGTTCCAGCAGCAAATTTTAAATATATTAAAAACATATTAAAATAAAATCAAGTTTGGACATGTGAAAATGCTGACAAAAACGGCATGGCATAGAACCCTCAGACATCACAAAGCTTTCATGTTGAAGATCAGTCTACAAAAACTACTTAATGTGCAAATAAAACACCTTCTTAAACATGTCCCCAGTCACCCTTAGACATAAACTTAAATTCACTTTTAGGGAATTTTCAGTAATTGTATTTATAGTATAAGTGCACCTTAAAGATTAACAAGGTACAGTCTATAGAAACTTAAAATAAAATAAAAACATACATTCATCTCCTGTTTATACTTTGTCAGAGCCCTTCCTGTTGCTCAGCACAAATTAATTAATGCAGCTGCCTTAGTAACATATCTTCACCGGTCCACATAATAAACATAAATTATTCTTGTTAGGAGTTCAGTCATGGTTAAACGTATGCATGCTTCTCTTGATCTCTTCTGAATTTTTCATCTTTGTGGAGTTACTGTTTGTCCCATAAATTAAATTAGATATTTATATTGCCACACTAGCTTTCAGTGAGACTGGAGGTCAGTGACAGGAAAGGGAGTTAGTTGAGTCTCATTCTTTTAATAAGGCAAGGGTCAATGTGACCTAGATCTGTAAAATAAGGTGCAGTTAACTTACTTCTAACTTCCACAAGTGGATGTGTATTTTAAACATGAGAACAGGAGGCACTTCTTCACACAAAGGGAGTATGGAACAAGATACCCGGATATGTTGATGGAGCCTAAATCCTGTGCTTTTTCAACAGTGGAATGAGATCCTTGGATTAAATGAGAACTAACTACTGAATGGGCTAGATGGGTCCAACGGCCTCCTCTGGTTTATAACCTTTATGTTTTTATATTTTAAACAGAAACGGAGAGCAGCTCAGCAAGTGAGGAGTGAATCACACCACAGCATTTATTTGTAGCAGTTTTTAAACTCAGCAATTTGCATCACATTTTATATTTAAACTTCCAACATCACTGTCAAGTGTTTTTGCCTACACACAGCAGTGTGTAAGTGCCTGGTATTTTAAAGTAAATGCACTGTTTGCAGGGCCTACTGCACACAACCAATTAATAAAAATCTCATTTACCAAATGCATCACAAAGGCTATCTAGTAGCAATCAGTAGATGTAGTATTACTCTATGTTGCAGTTGTGACCGCAATCTTTTTGTACCACCCAAAATGGAAAAATCCACCTCTCCCCAAAACTTTTGTCGCATTTTTCAACAGGATTTAGACAGCAGTTGTCCTATGAAAGGCATTACTGAATGCAACGCTTCATTTTTGATGCACGACAGACACCACGAATAAACCCTGTAGTGTGATTCATTGCCAATGGCACTAGCAAGGAGTGGAGACTGAACCCTATAGTCCACGTACTGTATCACTCTGCTGAGCCCGGATCTCATCGGCAGCCTGACTGGGACCACAATTCCCCAAGCAGCAGAGCAAGTGCTGGTCCAGCAGGGTCATCCTGGTGAAACCGTGAGTCCTGCAGCTTCACAGCGACATCAGAGTAAGTGACATGCTGCCCCTCCAATATGCACCAAATCTCCCCTACCTACTGCACAGCTTAAAGCCTGTGAAACAGAGGGCATCTCTGACAGCTTGGCCTGTTCTCCCTGTTCGTGCTGCGCCAAAACTCTAAACAACGGGCAATCCCCCAAAACAATGGTAGAATCAATGAAAAAAAAAAAAGGTCATCCATATTCTAAAAATACAGTTATCGCCTTTCAGTAAATGAAGGACTCTGAACATTCGTTTCAAACCATGCACATAAAATGTTTCCAATGGAGCCCGAGCAGAATCCTACACTGGCAAGGACTACACTGCCTTCCTTGTGGCCTTACAGGGATGGCAGTGAGCTGTTCTGACAGGGGAAACTCCAGGTCTGTGCACATTGTACAGCTTTTCATAGACCTTTACCAATGCCTTGAATTGGGTTTTGCAGTTACAGCCTTTAGTATTGTGTTATTTTCATAATTAACTACTGAATAAGTTATGGATGACAGGAGGGAATATTAAATTAAGGAACTAGAAAACTCATCCTTGGGCTGTAAAGCATTTTTTAGTGCTTTTCTCACTTTCAGTTTAAATCAGCAATTTTAAAATGAGTACACAATACAGGCCATGACTTTTTCTGTAAATGCCTAGTGTCAGCAATGAAACTCAACAGAAATCAAAATACATACGTACAAAGGTCTGTAAAAAGAAATGTCATCCAGTTTTACAAAAATATATATCTGTCTTGGAACATCTGCTGTGAAGCAAGGAAGCAGATGCATGGACAAGCTCCCATTGGTTTAGAACGGAGCAAGTGTGGAATGCACTTGGAATCCGCAGGTTCCTCATCTTATTCCCGACCAGCTGTGGAGATAGGAGGTCCAGCCTGTAGTCCTGGTGGCAGCTGCAGCTTCCTCTTCACCTACAAGGTTACAACTTTGCTCAGTGAAACCATCCTGGGCAGCAGGATCAAGCACGTGAAATTATACGCAAAAATTGTGCCGCTCAAAGGAAAGCTGAAAAATCGATTCAAACACTTGGCGATGCTGCCTATAAAAGGACCTCGGAGATGCTCATCCTTCTCCACGTTGGGGGAGCACAGCTGGAGGGATGAGACTGCAGCAGGACGCACAGTCCTGTCCCTAGCAGGCCCTAAAATCACTGCAGCCTGATGGGAAAGTAGGGGCCAATGTTACTGTGAGGGCAGGCTGCTCTCAAGTACCTCCCTATTGCACAGGCTTCACCACCAGAGCATGGTGTATTTTTCTGTAACATATTACACAGCCTTGTTCTTGGTCTCGACCAGAGGCCAGTCACAGGAGCTGTAAAGCTCTGCAGGCTTTGCAGGCACAAGTTACTAAACTGAACTCTTACGTATATGCTCTTATTTTCACAACCTTTTCTTTTAAAAGCTTTGTTTTAGCTACCTTGTGAAAATTCAAATAATCTTTTTAACATTTCTCGGTTAAAATGAATGTACAGTTTACATGCCTTAGTGTCTGCCCGCATAGTCCAAGTCCAAGCATAGTACAAGACAACCTTAACATTTAAAACCCTATCTTGAGTCTGGCTAAGTTCTTTGCATTGAGACAAATGTGCGGCATGGAAACCAAAAGGACAGCCAGCACTAACTACTAACACCAATTATGAGCTGCATTTCATCAAACGAAGCTGATGGCAAGAAGAGACAACCGATTTCAGGGACGAGAAGGTCAAAAACAAAAGTAAAAGAACTCAGGGTGAAGTGTTTGTCTGTTCATAATGCAAAGTGATTGAATGCAGGGCACAGCTGTGCTCTTACCCTGGGCGATGGCAGACAGCTTGCTCTTCTCCTCGGGGCTGAGCTGTAACATGGTGTGGATGACGGGCAGGAGGGCTTGTCTCTCGCTGCCAGACTTGAGGAATATGAACTGCAGCAGGACGTTCTTCAGGTACTCCAGGTTGGCCACAGACTTCTCCCGCTCCTGGTTCCTCTCCAGCCTCCTCACCTCACTCTTCAGAAGCTACAAGACAGCAGAGCCCTGCCGGTCAAAGACCTACTTGCTACCCTTTCAAACACCACAGATGAGTTCACAACGTCCAACTGAAAAGTGGAAAACCACAGGGAGACATTTGGGTGGAGCTACTAAAGCCCCATGAGATGTTTCAGTTCCCTGAGCCAGGCTCAGCAAGCACAAACATGAAAAATACTCCAGGTGAACAAGCTACAAAACAGGAAAACTGGAAGCAGAGTATTGCATTATAAGGCCTGCAGTGTTCAGTATCAATTTAAATTTAATTCTAAAATATTAAGACAAGGACAAACTGCCCGAGGCGGTCTCTCGTGCCATGATTTTCAGACATTAGGCCGGGAGTTACACTTTGCGAGGTGATGTCAGGGGAAATCAAGGTTGGATTTTTCGCAGAGCAATTTCCTGCTCTGTTAGCGAGGGAGTTACACAGACTTGCGGGTCTCCACCCCTACAGTAACTTTATATCCAATGAGCTCTTATGTTTATGTTAAGTTTTTCCTTCTGCCCAAATGCCACAAAGTTGGAGTCTTGACCAGGACCAAGAGAACCTTCTGGTGGTACAAAGATGCCAGGAGTATCCTTGTCACCTCAAAATGCCACTGTGACAAGGGAGTTAAGGCAAATGCATGAGATGTTCTGCATACTGCCATGAGATTACAGACACTGTTTTCTCTTTCATTCTCATTGTCAGCATTATACAACTGATCAGTGATGTCCAATACTGCCCCACTGCCACTGTAGAAGGAAGTAATAACTACACAGTCAACTGCGGTGACATTAGGTTTTCATCATGCACCAGAAAAAACACTCCAATTACTTCCCAACTGCCATGCTTTTATCAGGCAATGTATGAAGCCAATTTTATTATGTGACTTCTTCAGAGAAAATCAATCATATTAGGCAGGGCCCTCCCAGCCTAACAAGCTACTGCCTACAAAAACTGAGTTGATGCAGCTCTTGGAATGTACTTGAACCCATGTCTATCAGCACAGCCAATGCAGAGAGACAGGTGACTGGTTCTGTGCTGCTGACCCAGAGCTCCAGGTTACTGTGATCTGCTTTCGAGAGAGAAACGGATGACTGGCTCTGTACTGCAGACACCGAGCTCCAAGGTTACCATGATCTGCGCTCGAGGAAGGCAGGTTACTTGCTCTACGCTGAAGACACTGAGCTCCAGGTTACCGTAAGCTGTCCTCTTAAGGGAGGTAGGTAGACCACAGGCTCTGTGCTGCAGACACTGAGCTCCAAATTACCGTGATCTGCTCCATCAGAATGGCATTGGTGGCCTCGGTTTCATGGAGGAGACTGTTCAGGTGTTCAATGCTTTTGTTGGCGGTGCTCAGCTTCTGTGTCAGCTCCTCCCGGGAAGGCTCTGCTTGCCACACAAAAGGATCTGCAAAAACACAATTCTGTGTGATTATCTGACTGGGTATGGAAAACCATTTCATGCCATGAACTCCACTGAGAAAAATTCCTAAGGAGGGAGTTGGAGAATAATTGCACTGATACATTTACTCTGACCCAATATAAACATTGAAAACAGTCTATCTGAGAACTTTAAATCTTTCTTATAATGGTTCTCAAATTCAATATGTATAACAGGTTGTTAAACACAATACCATGTTTTTCAAGCATGATAAGGTAAGAAATGATATTGATAACTTCACATTAATGAAAAAGGAATATGTAAGGTTATAAAAACAATTATTGGAACTAGATAAGAGCAAATCAGATACTAGGGGACATCAACTTGGATTTAGAAAAAGTAGGTCTTGCATATTCTCTGTAATAACACACAAATGTGATAATTCAAAAACGTTAAATTCTCAAGTTATGGGTGGACATTCAGGGACCATGTGTGTTTCAACTTAACATTGGCAAGAAAAGTAGAAAACACTGTACAGATAAGGGTTGAATGCTCAAATAGGGGTGCTGTAATCAGAGACCACACTGGATGTAATACAGTGGATCTGTATTATGACCACTGCTCCGAAATCAGTCCAGGAAAGAAAAGACATACATTTCACTTAAGGGAATGTCCTACACAGACTGAAGGAACTGAATGTTTTTAGTCCTCAACAAAGATTACAAGAGGACTCAATACAAGTATCCAAATTCCTCAGGCCAATGGACATCTTTAAAATGAAAAGGAACATGAACCAGAGGACAGAAGTGAGACCTACATGGAAGTGCATTTAAAACCAAGAAAAGGAGGCAGATCTCAACTAAAAGGTTTACAGACGTGTGGAATAAGCTGTTCAGCATTTATTTTGGAGCTTAATTAAAGAAAGAGCTGGATGAGATCCTTCGATCAATTATTTATGAAAAGGGCCAGATGGGCCAAATCTCCTGTTCTGATTCAAGGCACCGCTTAGTGACCTACACCTAGTAAATGTTACAAAATCCACATCTTTAATCATGACATTAAATGAAGCCAAATAATGTTATAATCCAATGCTCAGCAACCTACAGAGAACACAGTTGAAACGCTCAGTTCCGATATGTTTCGCTCTTAGTTTGCTCATGCATTATAAAGAACCAGCAGGGATTCAAACAATGGCCACAGGACCTGTTTTGGGATCAGGGGAGTTGAGGAGCTGCTCTAGAGAGGGCAGGTGTGTGCTGGCTGAGGACACAGACTCCGTCTCTGTGGTCTCCATGCCCTCTCCCTCCTCGCGGGCCGTCGAGTGCAGGTCAAAGGTCGGGAGGTCAGCTGCCTTCCTCTCCTGCAACGTCTTCCTCATCTGCTGGGCAGGTGCAGGACCTGAAACACAAGGTGACAAGGCATGATTGCTAAGGTGAAAGCCTAACTGGGCAGACTGGGTAGAGAGGTGTCAGATCACTCAGCTGATAGAGCAGCACCCTAACACTGTTCTCATGTAATGTCGGGTTTCTGAGGAAAAGAGTACCACAGATGGGATGCTAGAAGAATAAGTGGCATGTCTTCCCCTAAATTTGAAGGGAAGCATTTAGTTCACATGTACAACGAGTTGTTTTTTAAAAAGTTTCAAAATGTTTTACATTCAGATTCCAGAAACAGCAATATTATGATTAAGATCATGCTCTTCATGCAATTCCACCCAGGAGGTGTAGCTTATAACATACAGACGGGATTCATGCCCACTCCTGACACTTATGTTTGTTGCAAAATGTTTCTTTAATTCAAAATATCCACTGTCATTGTAGCTATATGTTGTTATTGATAACACCGATTTTAAACTAGGAACAGGTAAAGGCTGATTCCATGCTGAAAGGCAAAGAAAAGAAGAACTCATCTCAGCTGTGAAGCCTTCTTCAGGTGTGTCACGGGTGTGCACCATGTAGTATGGAATGAAACTTTACCAGTTGCTTTGCAGTCTACGCATGCTGACGCAGCTCCCGACTTGAATAATAAACTGGGTAATGTCCAGCTGTTCTGAACAAGCTTTAAATTACATTTTAATGCCACAAGTGGTCCACCAGAGGGCACTACTGTGTTACCCACTGATTATATGCCAAACTAAACAGCTGTCAAACGATGCACTTGGACACAGCTGTGCTTTCATCAAAATCAGTTTAGCTTTTTTTCAAAAAAGAATTCAGGAGAAAAAATGCCATCAAGAACATGGTTTGCAGGGTCTTTTTGTAGATCAAGTTTCTTCCACACACCCTCTTGAGTCTATTGAAGTCTCCCGTCATAAGAACAAAGTTAGGGTTAGCTCTTAAGAAACACATTCATTTTGGACAGCCAGGGGATTTTAAGATAAAAAGGAGGCTTTGTACAAGATATAAATTGCAAAATGCTGAACATTTCTTCTGGCAGCTAATTTTAGAACTCTTCAGACAGACCAGGGTTCTGTAAGCTTTCTTGGAAAAGAGGGAAAACTCGCCAGTCAGCAGGACAGAGGCAGGTCAGCACTGACAAACAGATCGATTGAGGGAAGACAGGCTAGCGACCCCGTGAGGAGAGCAATACACACATCCTTCTCCTGAACCCTGTACAAACTGGAGGTCTGCTACCCGACCCGAGCCTGACGGGGCCTGATAAAGTATCAGTTTTCGGGCCAGGCTCGGTTCGGGTTTTCACGTACAACTTCAGGCTCGGGCCGGGTTCGTGTTTGTTTTCTAATAAGTGAAACGAATTAATAATTGTTTATTATTTTATGTTTTCAATGTATTTTTATTAGAAGAAAGTTGTGACTCATTTTGCACACTCGCTTGTTCGCATTGTAAAACTGTGTTTGTGAGTATCCGGCTCCGTGTGTGCATGTGTGTCTATTTGCTCTGAGAGGAAAAGAGAGTGACTGATTTCGGGTTTCAAATTTGGCAGTACCAATCGGGCTCGGTCGGGTCAGGTCTCAAGGTCTCGGGTACAGGCTGGGTTCGGGCTTCAATTTCATGCCTGTGCAGACCTCTAGTGCAAACCACCTTTAACATCCATTTTTGTTTGAAAAAAGTTTGTTAAATCAGTCCTGAATAGCACCTCTTTCTCAATGTTAACCATCTCAAAATGTTATTTTTTTTTCAAATGAAGATAAAGCCAACTGTCTGTTCATACCTCGTTAATTTCAGTAAAGTCATAATTTTAATGAAACATTACCAGACTAAGTAGCCATTAAAAAACGTAATGAAAGTGTACAAGCTCATGGGCAATTTAATTTGGGCCAATCAATTCAGAATACTTAATACAACATGGCCTGAGGAAAGGTGTTGTGCAAATGAATAAAATTAATCCAGAAAGTCACTTTCTTACAGAACTGAAGTAGGCACCAACTTCTTATTTCAAAATCTAGAGTAGCTGGTGTAATATACTGTAGGCGCAATAATTTAGATGTGACAGGCCTGAAATGAGCAAATCATTCAAATACCACTTGCTGAAAATACAGCAAAACACAAGAGTCTTGCTCAGCCAAAAACTCCTGCACAAAGGAAAGGAAAGGAAAATGCTGTGCTTCCTAGGAGCGGAGCATTCTCCGATTTCTTACTGGTTACGTTAGGTTCCTTCGGCTGCAACAGCTGGGATTCCAGCCTCCTGATCTGATGCTGCAGCACCTCCACGGTCTTCCTGTGCTCCTCCTGTAGGTGGCGCACCTGCTCCCGGAAGCTGGCCCTCAGAGCTTCATTCTGGGTGCTCAGCTGGCTCACCGTCTGGGTGTGCTCAGACTTCAGCACCAAGTTCTCGGACTGCAGGGAGCACAGCCTGAAACGGAGCGAGCCTGAGGTAAGCAGGGGAATAACCTTTCAGAGATCACTTAACTGCTTAACCCACCAAAGAAACCACTATGAAGCTTGATAGATCACCACTAAGGCACAGACACAAAGAAGCCCACGCTTACTGATTGCTGTACTATCATCACGACAACTACAAGAAACAGATGATTAAACCTTGAAGAACAACCCACTTCCAGAAGGCAACTGCAACCAAGCCTCAAAACCACAAAACCACGTTTAGTATGCCTGTATCCTAGAAGTTGTGCTTGTGTAATACAACAGTTTCCCTGAGCAATGGATTGCAGAAAAATGGAGAGAAAGTGTTTTTTGAGCCATCAGGTTTATAGAAAATCCACTATAAAATGTCAGGGGCATTATTTATTACAACCTTCAATCACGCCTTCAAGGCTCACCACCTCACACTCAGTTTACAACCAGCTTCACAAGCAAACTAATACTCAAGGCCAGCAGATAAGTACTAGCAGGTAATGACGTGTCCATTAAAGGTCAGGTCTACGCTGAACATCAGTGACCAGACTCCAACATGTTTAAGAGCTGACAGGTGAGATATTGTCAGCGCTCCAGAACACTGCCCCCGGCGACTTGCCTCTCTCGGAGCTCGGCCTCCTTGACGACGGTCTCCTGCAGGATCTTGTTGTGCCGCTCCAGCAGCGTGTCATGTTCGGACTGCAGCTGCTGCAGCTCGGTGCTGCTGACCTCCAGGCTCTGCTGGCTCTCCTGCAGCCTGAACCTCAGCTGCTCCACTATCCTCTCCTGGTACTCTCTGCAAGGCACACGCACCGAGCACCAGTGAGAACAAGGGATACACATACACACAGAGCACCAGTGAGAACAAGAGATACCGTACACACCTCTACACATACACAGAGCACCACTGAGAACAAGAGATACTGCACACACAGAGCACCAGTGAGAACAAGGGATACACCCTTCTACACATACACAGACAGAAAAGGAACAAGTAAAGGTTTATTCCATGCTGGAAAATGAAGAAAAGAAATACTCTCTGCAAGGCTCACACACCGAGCACCAGTGAGAACAAGGGATACACACCTCTACACATACACAGACAGAAAAGGAAATAGTAAAGGTTTATTCCATGCTGGAAAAAGAAGAAAAGAAATAAAACGTTTCAGCTATGGAGCCTTCTTCCTAGTACGCTTTGTGCCTCTTCCTAGAAGAAGGTTCCACAGCCAAATGTTGTCTTTCTATTCTTCTCTTCTCAGCATGGAATAAACCTTTACTTGTTCCTTTGTAGCCTACGCATGCTGACCCAGCTACCTACTTGAACACACAGACAGAAGACCACCAAAGACAAGGGACACATCTCTGCTTGTGGCAAGTACTAAAACTCCATTGGGACAATAATGAACCTTTTATAATTACCCAGGAAATAAAAAATCAAAGACGAGTTACAGTCAAATCTCCTGCCCTAGCCTAGTTTTTGCCTCACATGGAGCCCTGAATATTCTTTAATTATTGGAATACCTGATTATTTTAATCTCAACGTCTCATACTTACACGGAGGTCAAACCTCATACCTGAATGACTTGTGCACTGCTTGGAATATGTTAGGAATAGCACAGTCTTCCTAGCATGCAGAGCTCTGAAGTCATTTTATA